TACGGTTGTTTGCAAGGAAAAATGGTAAAAGATATATCTAACTTCAAGTTTTGATGGTAGCTTTCGCTACTTCTGTTTTTTTATTTTCGTTTCGCTGGGACATCAACCATGGCCAAACGAAGTTCCACATGAGAAATTTTAGTCTAATTCCAATTAGTATGAGATATATTGGAAAAAAGTCTAAAGCAAATTTGTGCGGATTTGACCGTTTGGTCCAAAGTTGACAATAGCACATTATTAGATGGAATACGACATGGATTTGCATAACCCAACAGGTTTGGGTTTGGTGTTTTCCTCAAGTTTTAGATTGGTACCACTGAATAATGATAAGCAAAACAACAACAAAAAACAAAATAGGTCCAAACTTACTAGTCACACAAAATGGATTTGATAGAATATCATCAATATCTTATTAATCTTGCACAGTACACTACCACAAATCATAAACAAGTTCTGTTCTAAGCCATAAAAATCAACATCCGATGGGCATATACGTAGTACCAATTAGTTTGGGCTTTAATGAGCCCATTTACAAATTTTTAAAACAAATACATAAAAAACATTAATATTAAAATTTGAAGACAATAAGAAGTTAATGCAGTGAGACCCATGTAGTGAAGCAACGACAGGTCCTGAGGTCACACTCACCGCAAAATGCTTACAGAGTTTCACATGCAATGCTTCTTCCCATTTATACTTTTATTGTACCTTTATTATTATTTAACCCCACACCACTTTCTATTATTTATTTCTTTATTTTCCTCTTCTTCTTCATGTGATTTGAATTTTTCCACATTAAATTGTTCCTCTTCCCAATTTATATATCCAGCTCTACAATAATAAATGCTGTAAAACAAAACCAAGTTGATACATTCTGTGTTGTTATGTAACATATACTCGTTGGAGTATAAAATATGTAAGAGAAAGCAAAAATAAGTTTACTCGGGCACTATAAATACAAGCGTATCCGTATGCTATTTTAATATAATGTAGATCCCTTATTGGGATATTCCCATATGTTGACTCTTGTCACTCTACTATTCTTTCTATACTAACTGCCAAATTATTTTGAAAATTGTGGATGACTTTTGGTTAGATCGATCAAATATTTCATATTTTTATATTTGCTATAAAGAGGGAAATATTTCGGTTTATTATGGAAATAAATTTATCAACAATTTGTTTGACAAAAAAGAAAAGAAATATTATCAACAATTTCAACATACATTATTACAAATTTGCAGGTTTTGTCATAGTTATGTGTGTTAATAGTAAAACTATTTATTTGAATGTGATGCAAGTATAACACTATGTCATATTTTTCATAAATATAGTAAATACAGTTGGATCTACTGTAGTTTGTGGTACATAGAGTTATATTTGAACATTTGATTTAATGAAATATCTTTCTCATAGATATTAGATAGAACATGCTGATATTGT